GAGGAGGGGGGGAAGTCAGAAGCACAGACAGTGTTAGTGCGCACGCCGCCATTATGCTCGGTGAACTGCGCGCCGCCGCGACTAGAAAGAAGCTCCTCGGGCGCTCGGGCTTTGCCGCGCGAGCCAACATGATCCAGAGGCGGCAATCAAACCTGCGAGTCGGGACAGTTACGCTACGTGGACGCGCCTCTTGATCGATCTTAATTCTTTGTTTTCGCAGGACGCGGCGGACGATTTGCACGCGCCGCTTCTTTTCCTTTTTCGTTGGCCGTCAAATCCCTTCCTTGCCGTCCTGCGGGAGGCGACTCGACTTGCCGGCTCAGAGGCTTCGAAACCGGGTTAGTGGTGAAAGTGAGTGAAACGTGACGGCAGCGAGGACAGGAAGCGTGTTAATAACGGCATGTAGAGAGACACGGGGACAGGACGCACAAGTCCGGACTCGCCGGGACCCCTCGGCCCCGACCCGCTGTTAGTGCCGACGCCTTATTTGACTCGTGAGTTTTGCCGCTACTGCCAGTTTGAAGATCGCGGCGTCAGTCACGCACTTTGTTGCGGGGCAGAGTGCTCGCCATCGCTAGAGTATACCGACCTCTCTTCCGGGTCCCCAGGTGAAGAGGGCTGTTCAGGTAACTCACAGCGCTCTTTTTCCTCTGAAACAAAAACAGCAAGCACGACATTTGCCGTTGCCATCGAACGCCACTGGACTAAGCAACCTTCAAGCAGCTGCAAAAAAAAGTAACCGGCACGTCTTCACCTGAACGCGGATTTACCTCAGGCTCAAACACGGCGCCGCTGTAAACCGGGTTCGCCGTCGTTCTCCTCTTCCTCTCCTGCCTTTTGCTCTGAATCTCTGCAAAGAGGCGCAACATGTTCAAGTTGCTGGCGCTGAGCTCCAAAACAGGCACAAAGTCTTCTCGGCGGTCGGCACTCCGAGCGGGATGGGACCATGGGGGGCGGGGAGGCGCCACCGAGCGAAAGAAGGCTCACCTTCCAAGTGGTCGTGCGTTACGAGACCCAAGGACACCATAAAGGCCAGTTTCTAGAAAGAAAGACGTGCAATCAGACAAGCGGCGTGACGCCAGGGCGACGCCCTCACCCGTCGCCTACCTCCGGACTCTCCTCCTTCTTGGGCCTGGGGGGCGGAGACAAGGGCGGAGTCGACGAAGAGGGGAGCGTGCCGACCAGCTTGTGCTCGGCTCCGCCTCCTGATTTAACAGTCTGCTGAGAGAGGACGGCGAAAAGTCACACGACTTGCCGGGGGCGTGGCGCCCTCGGCGTCGGCGCCGCTTTCCCTACCTTGGGCTCGGCGGTCACGGCGCTGATCTGGAGAGGCTGGGCGGGGGCGGCGGCGGGGTCGGGCGCACGGGCGGGGCTGGCGAGGCAGGCGGCCGTGGTGGGCGTGGCGATGACGATGCCGGTCAAAGGGGCGGCGCCCGTCTTGACGCAGGGCTGTCCGTTCACGATGCGCAGCTGGTGAATGGGCGCGGCGGACGAAAGCGAAGGCGACAGCTTGGTGGCCAACATGACGGGCCTCTGCAGCAGTTGTGGCGCCGCCATCATGGGCGGGGGAGGCGCAGGGGCGATGGGGATGTTGGCAGGCAAGGCGGGCTTTGGTCTGACCTGCTGATGAACCGCAGCCCATCAGAAAACAGGAAGCGACACTCGCCGCCAATCGCGTGTGTGAAGCGAGGTCATTTTGTTCCCTTCGTTGAAACCAAATTGCTCATCAACTTTGTACAGTTGTATTGTCGCAGTCCCGTTTGCTCGGATTTTGACACAAATGTGTTTCGCGATGACGGGGCCCAGGTCAGGTCATTCATGTGCACGCACGCAGACACGCACACACGGACTCACCAGCATGGCGTTCTTGGAAACGAGCCTCAGTGGTTCCAAACTGTGAGCGCTTAGTTTGCCCGCCACTTGCAGGTTGATGGGGGCATTGTGCGCGTCGGGTTTGGAGATGGCGGTGGTTACCATGGTGACAGTGGCCGGGCGTTGCGGCAGGATGGAGCCGGGTAGGGAGGGCGTGGCCGCAGCTTTCAGCACCAGAGGTAGCGTCTTGGTGGTGAGGACCGGCGTCACTGTCAGCGTCTACCCCAGTCAGACAAAAAGAATCCAAACAACACTTGAAATGTGCATCTCGACAAGGGCTCAAGAATTTTTTTTTTTTTATCCAATTCAAACGACCTCACAATGTGGTAGAATGCCACTTTCTATTTGCAAAGGTTGCAATTTGGAAGAAAACAAGTTCAGTGCATCGCAAAGGCAATCCACATTTTCCCATATAATTTTTTTTTTCAAGAAACATGCAAAGTGATAAAGCCGTTGCTCGGCATCCGATTTATGACGGACTGATTTGTGTTTAGGCCACACTTTATTTGGTAGAATGTTGTAAAGTTGTCGTCGTGAAGGTTTGAAAGACTGCAAGTCAAAGTTCACAACTAAAAATGTCTCATTTCAATTTATAGTTCATCCAACTCTATTTTAGCATGAGGCTAACCTATAAAAATCAAAATAAATAAAACAGAAAAAAACTTTTGTATAAGAAATCCAGTCTTGTTTTTTTTTTTGTAATACAGATTGCTTGTGCTTGTGAAAGAAAAAAAAAAGATACATGCGAAGAGGACCTTGACAAAAAGCATCGCAATATTGTGGAGAGGAAAAAAATGCCATTCGATGGGGATGAAAGTAATCCTCGAGTCATTTGAGTACCTCAATTTAGAATCACTAACTAAATAAAAATTCTGCCGGAGAGCCCCATTTATTTGGTGTGTACGGTCAGGAAGATAGTCAAGCCAGTCGCAGGAACAATTGGTCTTGCCGTGTGCGAATTGAACGCGCCACCAGCGCGCTGAGAAGGCCAAAGTCAAATGACATAATCACAGGCCATTATGATAAATAAATTAATGAATAAACATGTGTGTGTGTGTGTGTGTGTGTGCGCGTGCGTTTCGTACCTGCTGCAGCCCCGCAGGAATCTGCTGGCTCTGCACCAGGTTGGTGGGCTTGTTGACATCGCCCCCCACAGGAGGCGCGTGGACCTGCAGCTGCACTTTGGCTTCTGGTTCTTGCTTGACCAGCAGCTCTTTCCTCAGCTGCTCGACCACCTTTTTCTGTCGGTACGCAAGAAACGCACAGACGCAAGTTGTCATGTTGAGACTGATTGGAAGCAAAATCTTCTGGCCCGTTTGGAGAATACTACAGGATGAATGGCACCGTGGTGTTTTGTTTTTTGGGTTTTTTTTTTTTGTGCGGGGGATTTCATCCATCGCCTCAGAAGCACGGGTGTGTCGTCGGTATGTTATTTGGCGCCACTAAAGATGGAGTTTGTTCTTCAGACGCAACCTCTTTGAGACCTTTTCAGGCAATTTCCACGTTCCTGTCTCGGCGTCGGTCTCCAGGGGAACCGGCGCGATGAGAACGGCAAGCTCAAAAGAGCTCAAAGTGTTTTCAAGTATCGCATCATGTCGGTCGAGCGCGACGACGTACGATAACCCTAATAAAAATAGCCAGCGCTTCAAAAGACAAAATATTCTCCAGATGCGACTGCTCGTCAAAAAGACAAGCTGCGGTCCGACCCGACGCCGCCGTTCCAGATATAAGGGCAAAACTGGTCACGCGGTCAGAAAGGAACGAAGCCGTGCCTGGCTGGCGCGGCTGCGGCAAAACGTCAACTCAAGGCGGCATCGCGTCGCCAACAGCCCATCGACGTCGAGCACGTCGCCAGCGAGGTGGCGTATCAACTTGTTGACCGCTGCTCAACGGCCAACCAAGACAAACACAGCCAGAGTAAAAACAACAACCACCAGCCACTAGATTGACGACCGATGTTTGCCCGCAAACAAACGTACACCAGACACATGGGCGAGATTTCGTGTTGGGTTTGAAGCGATCCAAACGGCGCCAGCTTGTGGAAATGCGCACGGGCACATGAAGGCGTCTCTACCTGCTTCTCACTCAGTGCGGTGATCTTTGCTTGGAGTTCATGAAGTTGCTTCTTCAGATCTGCGTTCTGCAGAAGAACAGAGGGGGAGGGGGGTTAAAAAAAAGGCATTGGGTCATGTGACCGCTTCTTCCCATGACTGAGGCTGCGGGCGACTTTACCTGAGGGTCCTGCTTCATCTGGGCCACCAGTTTCTGTGGGCAACAAAACACACAGTCAGCAGTGCGAGTAGTGAGTGGGTGGGGGTGGGCGGTTCTCTCACAATTTAGGCCACTTTATATCGCGCAAACAAAATATTTTCAGTTAATATATAAAAAAAAAATAGACTTTGACTGCGCACCTTCTCTCACTTTATTTTGAAGTGACAATAGACACACTTCGCGACTTACACAATTCTCCCCCCAAATTTCAAATATGGTTTTTTGGTCTTTTGCTGCCAGTTTTTTTTAGAATGTGCCAAACATCAAATTTAAAATGAGGTTGAACGTGTAATATGTTAGTTTTACTTGAATATCGGTTGACAAGGCTTTGCAAATCATTGCACTCAGTTTTTAATTTACCTTTTACACTATGCCCCAAATTCATTTGAATCGGGGTTGGTAAACAGATCTTGCAGCTGTTTTGTTTAAAAAAAAAAAAAAAACCACACACACCTGAGCAAGCTCAACCTATCAGAGACAAAATGCCTGACTGCCAAATTTCAAACTGTTAACATGAAGCGTTATCGTAAGACGCTATGATGAACAAGTCATGCTAGCAGCATCCGAGCTAGCACTGGCTAGCTATTGCTAGCTTGATATCGCTAGCACTGCTATTTCGTTGACGCCAGGCATCATTCGTTTTATCACAATGACAAATCACTTTCATCTTTCGGGTCAATGCCCCACCAGGGGAGATATCCTCTCTCCAGTGGTCCTAAACATTTTTTTTTAAAAGACAGACTACAGGGCACCAGTCTGGTCCCAGAAAACTCGCCTGCTGATTGAAAAGTTCTGAAACACAGCCTCTGTCCCAGTCAACTAGCCCTCTAACTCCTTCGCCACACCTGCTGCCGGCAAACTAACGCATCCTTCGGAGCGGATGTGGCAAAAGTCAACGGAACAACGTCGGCGAAGGACAAGCGAGCGGCACCTGATGGATCTGGATCTCCACCTTCAAAGCCTCCTGCAACGTCTGTAATTCCATCATTGACGCAGTCAGTCTTTCAGCTGATGGATCAGCCTGAACGCACAAAGCAGAAATCAACAGTTTTAGGCGGGGGGGATGTTGCCAAAGCAACGTGACCCGTGTGGACATGAGATGTGTTTCTCTACTCAAAAAGCTTAGAAAAGGTCAAATGACGTTACGGTACCTGAACGCCGTCTCCGGTGGGAAAAGCATCCAACTGAAGCATGAACGTGCTGCTGTGAGAAAGACATCACGGTTTCTACTTACTCACGTATTGCCAAATTACAGTACATTTCAGCGACATGTCGGGAGCGCTTTTGACCTCTCCCTGGGCAACTCTTCACTGTGTGAGGTAAGCAATTAACAGAAGATGCAATCGCTCTATCCCGAAGTAACTCCAAATTTGCACAATACAGATAATAACAGTTGAAACTCGGAGTGAACTTGCGCCGGCCCTTCCGTCTTTAATGCTCGCTACGCTTACAGCAACTTGTAAAAAACTGCAGATTCTCTGTTGAACTATTTGATGGATGCAAAAAAATAAATAAATAAAGGGTGTAGACAGCTTCTGGGCCTTTTTTGCCACATGCTCCAAAATGTTTGCTTGTTGTTCTACTCTCTTAGCCACACCCACGTAAGGAAGAGGGATGGGGGCGGGGGGCACCTTTGCCGAGCCCATGTCACAAAGTGTGACTCCACGGTCTCAACTGGATTCAACTAGTAAGTAAGCCAAACAGCATCATCGAAAAGGAAGGCCAAAGCAAGAGAAAAAGTCACAGCGATACAACGGCCTAGCTGAAATCACCTCGGGCATGATTTACTACAGAGTCGCAGTGGAACAACTCGTATGATGAGGCGGGAATACGCGAAGCGTGCATGATTTTGTTTTGATTGCCATCTTGTGGAACCATCTTCAGGTAAAAGTCTTATTATTTCGCTTGTTGGATGTAAATACGCTCCACAATATGCGTATGGAATAAATGGGGACTCACCACCCGGCTGTGGGACTGGACTCCGCCCCTCTGCCCTCCCTGCCCTGTACAACAAGTGCACACAACAGCGATTTATAGTCGACATCTTATTAATGAATCATCGATACACCTGCAGGTGGCGGAGACGGACATGAACACGTTCAGTCAGTCAGTCAGTCAGTCAGTGACTGATGTATAAGTGTTAACGGTTAATACAGATGTCAAATTAACCACTGCGTGTATTGGTTGATCAAGAAAAAAAAACTGTACTCAAGACAATACATACAATTCATGCTGATTTATATAGCGCTTTCACAATAGCTGCAGCTGTAACAAAGCGCTTAACAAAACAGTTAACATAAAGTAAAATAATAAACACAACATAAAACACGGACAGTCATGCAATGCTAACCACTTTTCCCTCACATGCTTTGTTGTTTAAGGAAAAGTTTAGAGAAAATTAAGTCCACAAATATGCTTCAGCTTGGTCCGTAGACATTCATTCTATAATATTGTTGAGTTGTTCACCAACTTCATTAATTACAAAGGGTATGATGTGGTGGAGTTGCACAGTCCAGTTGTTACGCAAAGGCAGAGGTGGTGTTACCGATGAAGCATTTCTTTGTATCGGCAACATAAAGTGGTGTAAAAGCTTTCCATTCTTATTCTATTGACGTCGGTTGCAAAGAAGAGCTGCAGTGACGTCACGGGCAGATTTGTTTAGATACCCTTAGCTTAGATTTTAAAAAATAAGACGGTTTTCTCTACTTTCTGAGTAACTTGCGAGTAAAACCTGCCCTCGGAATGCTTCCCAAGTTGAAAAGTTGCACGCGTCAATCCTGAAGGGCACACAGGTGAGCACAGGTAGGGGGCGGTCAGGCGCCGCCGGGTTAATTGGCGTAATTGCAGCCGGGATGGGACGTCAGGTCAGGGGACCGTGCGGACGAGCTGCCGCGCGCGAGCCGCCAACACCGACGACGTTAAAATGGAGGTTTCACTTTGTGCTCCGAGCACTCGAGTCAAGTGCTCCAATAAATGTTTTATAAGCGTCTCATTCATGGCCGACGCCGGATACTCCAGCTCTGCTTTGGAACCAGCCCGGGCCACCGCGACGTGTGCGGCGTCGGTTCCGGCGTGCGCTCGAAGCCTCACCGGGTCCAATAGGTCCAAAGTGACAGCAGCGCCCAACGTCGGAGAACAAGTGAACGTTAACGTTAGCCCGTTAGCTAGTTAACGCTAGCGCCACGTTAGCCTGGCAAGCTAACGCGGCTAAGTTCTGCCGAAAGATGAAGAAGAGGCGACGGGAGAGCGGAGGGGGAGGCCGGCCGGAGCGCGCTCCGACGCCCACCCGAGATCACGACGACCAACGGGCGGCAGAAGGACGCCTCCGAGACTGCTCAAAGGCGGCCACCCCCGCTGGCCGCAGAGCTGCGAGCGAGGGCTAGGAAAGGCTACGAGCCGCCTCTGGCTGTCCAACTTGTGTCGGCCTCTTCCTCGTCCTCCTCCTCCTCCTCCGCAGGAACTCCGACAAGAAGCCGCAAAGAGGCAGCAAAGAGCGCAACGAGGCCCCCCAAAAGAGCCCGGAGGCCGCACGCGAGCACGCACACGGACACGGGACGCGCGTCAACTCAGGGCGAGCGAGGTCGACATTAAAGTTAGCAAATGAAAAAGCTCGATGTGCACTTACTCAGCAGCAGTCCTCCTCCAGATTAATTCAATATATATCTCCAACTAGCCGATCCACGATGGAACAAGAGCCCACAAATAGTTCCACTCGCTCCTTCCCCGGCACCTTGACTTAGTTGCTCAATTTTGGACGTAGTTTGGGCAAATTCGTGAGAAAAGACACAAACTGAAGCTACAAAACAAGAACTCTTGTTCAATCTCATTCAGCTCAGCCTGCGCACAGCTCATATCACTCCGCCGCAGAGCTACACGAAGGCCCAACAAAACTACTTCTTCGTCTCCAAAAAGCCGCTTTGGCTGGCACCGAGTCGTCGACATCGGTGACTCCGTTTCCGAAAGTGTGTCGGACGGCACCGATCGGCCTCGCCGGCCCGCAAAAAGATGTCTTCTCGAAGCGGACTAGTTTTTGTGTCGGTGCGGCGAATTTATTTCACTTTGCCTAAGGAACGGCGGTACTGCGACTCCCATTGCCTAGGGAAAAGACCCGGATGTAAACTCAGTGAAACTACCGAAAGTGCTCGTGAGCGCGCGATCGTTTCCACGTACGCGCACGCAACACACACGCACACACACGTCCGATCTCACTCGTTCTATCGATTGCACTATTGGCGCAGATACTATGCATATCGTATTTGTACGGTAGTGCTGTACGATCGCCTTCGAACTGGCTGAAATCGCTGAGGCGCTTGTTGCCTCGTGCACTTCAACACTTAAGAAGTCGGGCGCTTCCCTCTATACGTGGAGCCACTCAGAAGAATCGTTCGTCATGACACCATAGATATATATTTGACTCACGTTGTTATTCTCCATCTATTCCAGCAGGGGTCGCGACAGCTTTCCTTTTTCCATAGCGCCCCCCCCCCCTCCTCCCCAGCTCAAGCGGGTCGCCTGAGTGAGCTGGGCTCCCCTTGTTAGTGTATTAAAATACAACAACGAAAATCCTCAGTAGTTACCATGCATGTCTGTTTAGTATTTCTGAGTACACAATCATATGTGTTTGCATTGTCAGGGGTGTATGGCAAGCCCTCTTAAGCGCTTTACTGGATATATGATGTTTGTGGTTAATTTTTAGCTTCGTTAAAAAAATTCATTTCAGATACTCACAACTGCATTCTTCCGATGCACAATTGGCATTTCAGATATCTGCAGCGTCATTTTGCCATTCGTGTGCATTCGGTTTGTCCCTGCAGATCTCTACAATTCAGTCGCGGACACCCGCTACTTGAATTAGCGGGGGTGTCAAACTCATTTTGTATCGTCACGGCTTCTCACGTGGGGCCGTAATGGTCGTTATGACTGTGAAACCAATTTATGGTGCCTTGTGCACCCCTAAAAAGTATTACAATATTAAGTAAGACATTGAGTGAGTTGTTTTTTTCTGAAAAGAAAATGTACAAAATTAGTTGTGCGGTTTTTGCCATACTTGAATGGTCATTTACAGTATGTGGATATTTTCTTGTTTGCTTCAAACCCTTCATGGGTTAGGAAAGTGGATCTTTCGTATGTGGATTGAAAAAAAGTATTTTAAAAGATTACATGTATTAAGAGTATGTAGTTTGCATTTATGCGCGTATTATGTCTGCAATTTAAAAGAATATTTTCGCCCTACGTCTGGTTCGTGCGGGGTGCTCGTTCTGCACGTTGTTCCACAGCTGGCCTCCAGAGGGTGCTGCTTTCGCTTACATTCAATTGTCTGTCTCCATTTGTCTTCTGATGACTTCACACGTTTGGTCTTCTTTGAAATGTCGCAAATATGCAAATGAGAACAACTGGGCAGCGTATAAACACAAACTCGTTCCTCTTTGTGCCATCGTGACATCACGGCCACGAGACGAAAGCTGAGGAAGCAGACTAAACGGGCCTGGTAAGAACACGCCCGCACAAACTTTGGGTCACCGAAGCGAAGTACACAATAAACAAGCTTGTCAAACTCAGTGACTAAAGCGTAAGTAGCCCGATAATGAAAATGTCCCAACGGCAACACTGCACACGGAAAACTCATCGAAGCGTAGTTCTTGCCAGCAAGGTTCTTGCACAAGATATGAGGAAAGCAACAGAACCACACGTGAACGTTACGGAAACCGTCATCGCTCATTACCATTTACTTCACTTGATCACGTCAACAGACGAAGCCAACGTCAAAATAGACAACGTGTACGATGTCACATCAAAACGGACATAACACGACATCACAGCAAAACAATTGCGACATGTATGATGTCACATTCAAACAACAGCATGTTTGTATGCAGTTGGCATGACGTCATTTCCTGTTGCTAACGTTTGTAACGGCAGCCCGGGCTATTGCTCAGCTTCACTACGTCGGCTCAGAAGCGACGCCTCTCAACCTTCCTTGACGACCCCGTTGACCTTTACATGGGCGGGTCGGGGCGGCGGCAGAGAAGCAGGCGGCGGAAGGTGCTCCTGAAGGTGGGGCTGCAAAGGGCGTAGCAAGCGGGGTCCACGGCACTGTTGACGTAAACCAGCCAGAGGCCCGCCTGCCACAGGAAGTCTGGGATGCGCACGTGACAGAAAGCGGCCACGAGCGCCATGGCGTTGTGCGGCGCCCGGGTGAGGATGAAGGTCAGAAGGATGGTCAGAATGGTGCGCGTCACCCGCCTCTCCCTGACTGCGACTCGACGCCGGGCGGACGACGGCGCGGGGGAGGCGGACAACGCCGCCGAGGCCGCCTGATATCGTCGAGAGCGAGCCGAGTTGTCGTCGTGGTGGTTCTTGCCAGTGCAAGACGGAGGTGCCGAGAAGGCAGTCAACTCGGATGAGTTGCTTCCGATGGACGCTCGCGCTCCGTTCCTCCGAAATCGATCAAGGTACGAGCAGTCACCGGTAACCTCGCCTCGCAGGGAAGGAGCGGATGTCCCGACCCAGTCCCCCGGTGGCCGGCGACGCGCGCTCAGCCGCCGCCGGCTGGTGGCAGACACGTGTCCGTACAGACCCACCATGGCCAAGCCGGGCAGGAAGAAGGCGGGCAGGGTGGTCCCGAGAGTGACCGCGGGGCTGGCAAGCAACCGCGGGTAACACTCGGGTTCGGGGACCAGGCGCTCGCCCCCAGCTCTCTGCCAGCACAGGATGGCGGGCGTCCACAGGGCGAAGGACAGCAGCCAAGCCAGCGCGATCATCAGGGCGGCCATCTTGCCCGTGCGCCGCAGTGGGTAGCTGAGCGGCCGGGTCAGGCAGAAGAAGCGGTCCAAACTGATGAGCAGCAGGTTCAAGACGGCCGCGGCGCTCACACCGTGGTCCACCACCAGCCAGAGGTCGCAGAGGGCGGCTCCCAGCGGCCAGGAGCCGCATGCCGCGTAGAGCGCGTACACGTTGACAGAGACGGTGCCCACCAGGAGGTCGGCGGTGGCCAGGCTCAGCAAAAAGTAGTTGTTGACGGTACGCAGACGGCGGTTGACCTTGACGGAGAGGAGCACCAGCGAGTTACCCAGAACGGTGACGCCGCTCAGCGCCACCGTTACCGCGGTGACCAGAAGCACCTGGGCAGCAGACTGACAGGAGGTGTTGACCGTGGGGCGGGGCCAGGCCGAGGCGTTGGTGTCCGACCCGTTTGCCATTTTCCTTCAAAACACACAAAATGGATGCAATCATATCAACATCCTTGGACACCTTTGACCCGCCTGTGAGCGCTTGCGTAAGGAGCTTGTCTATTAGAGCAAGGCCAACCCCCCCCCTGGGGTGGCAGTATAAAACGGACACAAATGAACATTCCAACTCTGCACATTTCTCTCAATCCCGATTCGCTATTTACGTTGATAGTAACGAATGCCTCCTGGATGGAATGGATACTCCTCCTTGTACAATTTTTATTTTCAAATAAAGACATTTTGGAACAAATTTAAAAAAAAAAATCTAATTTGTGCAAAATGGTAAATGGAGTGCACTTCTCTAGCACTTTCTCTAAAACGCTCGAGTGCCCTGAGCCCCTTTTCAAAAAGCTCACATTCACTTCGAAAACTGTCGATTGAATCTGCTACGACCCTGGTACATTTCCACAGCCGCTTAAAAGGATTTCTTTTGAGCTGAAAATGGCTCCGTCGCCTTCCCGTGGCCAAAAGTAGCACTGGGCCTGTTTTTTTTTTTTTTTTGGTGCATTTCGATGCTGTGAATCCATCCCCGTTGGCTGGGAGGCGATGACACGCTGGCCTGCGGCTCTCCCATGACTGTCGTGCTTCGCAGTTGAAATGAATGTTCATTAGCTGGCCAAGTATTCCCATAGCCACTTAGGAGTGGCCTTCAAAGCCTTCTCTCAGCTGCCCTGAAAACGTGATCAAAAGCATCGACGTGCATTTCAAAGTTACTTGGTATTACTTTATTTCCGACAGTTCCGTCTGTCAATTATTTTTTGGGTGGCCGAACAGAGTTGGGAATTCAGACTCAGCATTGCTGGCCAACGCCATGTCGACACGACGGAAATGTCCGGTACGCGCTCTCTAGTTTTCTTTAAATAATGGGAACCAATCAGATTTCAGATTGAATAAACAGAGCCAGCGAGGAAGCTTCTGGTTTCCATCCTCTGATGGGTTCGGAGCTACTTGAGGGGGATTGCAATGAGAATGTGGGAAATGACTGAAAATTCACTTTCAAGCGCCCCCCCCCAAAAAAAAAAAAAACGCAACTTCCATGGCAGCAACAACATAAAGTAGTTTGAAACCTCTTTTTGGAAAAGGTGCTCCTCGTTGTGACAGTCCAGTTACTGCTATCACAGAGTGTTCGTAGGTCAAAGGGTTTTTTTTAGGGATCCACCTCTGCTTCTTGTGGAAAATGCATTTTCAATGTTTGGGTATTTTTGTGTTTACAAAAAAAAAAAAAAAAAGTTTCTTCATATTGGGGAGTCAATGGTTCCATGATTTTCACTACTGGTCAGCCTTGTCCCTTTCCCTACTGTATTTTTTATTTTTTTTTTAAACTGAAAAAGCATTTTAAAAAAGTCACCTTCTCTAAAGACAGACAAGTAGAGGACAACAAAAGCAGGAAGATGTGGAAAGGAACTCCACATGACTGCAAAGAATGAACAAGTCTCGACTTACCCGCAAAGGAGTCCCGCCGCCTGCAACAAATCTCCCAACTCGATGTCTTGTGCTCGCCTCACTTCAACAAGCGGCGCGGCGTCCCTCCTTCCTCACTCATCATGATTCTTGCTGTCGTCATCAACCGTCATCACATTTGCTTCCCAGTCAAGACAGGCTGTCTGAAATCTGTGTTTGCGTTTGATAAATGAGGACAGAAAAAATGAGGAGGGGGGCGGGGGGGGGGATACATGAACACAGTCGTGGATTAAATGCGACATGTTACATTCATCGGTCCGTCATTCTATCCACCCGGCTGCTGTAGCCATCATGATCATGAGGTCGAAAATAAAAGGAAGAAGTCTTTGGAGTCTCCAAGTTCTTTAATGACATCACATCTAAAAGTCAAGAGCCAAGAAAGATGACAACGACGGTGGGGAAGCAGCAGCAGGAGCGGCGCTGTGACCAGAGCGTTTAGTTCAGTGTTAACCAATCAAGTAAAGCCAGGAGGAGCTTGGCCGGGTCACCATGGAAACGCCACCTGTGACCTGACACACCCGCGCGCACGCACTCGCGCGCACACACACACACACACACTTGGAGGAAATGTAAACGCGGCGCCTGTACAGTCGACAGGAAACATTTCAAGTTTTATTTTGAAGGAGTCTGAGAGGATAAAGGAGGGGAGGGGGCGGGCAGGGGTGTGAAACTCAACTCTCTGCTCACCGGTGATGAATCGAGAGCGCCGCTGTCACCGGTCACAAGCGCAACATGACCAACAGCGGGAATGTTTTCAATGTGACCCCAAGCGGCCCAAAGATTTGCCGCTCCTGTTTGGCTTTTTCCAATAAATTAAGTGAGCGAGCACCGGCCGAGTCACGTACACGCACCCGTTGCGACAATGGGAGGAGCTTCAGACGTTACAAATGATTGACAGCGGCACAGTCGCGTCCCCTCCTGCAAACGTTCGAAAGGTCACACGGTACGTGATACACAGAAGTGCGAGTCGGCGCCGCCGGCAGTGGACGCCGACACTCCTCCGGGACGTGGCACTCAAGCGAGCGCGTCGGCGGCTGCGTGTTCCGCTCGAACCCTTGGTAGCAGGAATGTTGGCGCCGCTTCCATGTGACGGGAAGTGCACGCCGACACCGCTGAAGGTTTGAAGGGAGGATGAGGGCAATTTTCGGTCCGATCGGGGACACCGCTCACTACCTGCTATAAGGGTCGCCGTGGAAACTGTTGTGAGGCGAGGGGGAGGAAGAGGAGGGGCCTGGCAGAGAGTCCTCGTCCACTCGCACCCCATCAAAAACATCGTCTGCGCCTTCGGTGGAGTGGGAGCCCCATGAGGGGGCCAGGCGCTGGGGCGTGTCGGGGGCCGGGGCCTGCTCGCGGCCAACGAAGGACGACCCCGAGGAGGCGGCGGGCCCGACGGCGGTTCTGCCGGACCTGGCGCCGGTCTGTGAGCCGCGGTGGATCCGATGGCTGACGATGATGTTGTTGCCGAAACCGCCCATGGATGCCATGGTGGTGCTCTGCTCGCGCTGCACCACGGCCGTCATGCCGCCCTCGGCGATCAGGCGGCGGATTCGAGCCAGAGCGTCTTCGCCGGAACCTCCCCCCTCCTCGCCTGGAAACAGGACAACGCGTCACATATACTAAAAAGGGCAAGTCGAGGCAAAAATGTTCTTGACAATAATACGTTCCATGCCCCCGCCCCCCACTGGTCCAAATACGGTACTCCTATGCATGTGACACAACTAAGCCCAGGGTGCGCGGGAACCGAGGCGGGCGCTACCTGAGCCCGCCTCGACATTGTCATGTCATTTTCAGTCCACAGCGAATGGCACTACAGGGCAAAATGGCCACTCCCCGAGATGGATAAAAACGTGCGGTTTTTGTTGCGTAATTGATATCCCACAAATGCAAAATTCATGAGGACACACAGAGTAGAATTTTAGGCTTGACTTCGCCTTTAACAGACACTTCCTGTCAAGCAGAGTTCCCTACACATTTCAAATCCATGTGTAGTTTTTCAGATATTAATTCATGGAAATGAGTCAATGAATCCATGGGTTCGGATTCTGCAGACCGGTTCTGGATGTCAACAAGTTATTTCCCGAGGCAGGTCACAAGGTTTGTTTCAATGAGGGAAGAGGTGATGCACCTCCCAGTAGCTAAAAAGTGGGACTTCTACATCACTGTTGATGCCTTCATGTTATTTTCAAGGCTCTTTAGCAGATTTTTGTGTTTTCAGACCGTCATAATGATACATGGACATAGATGTAAAAATTATACTATGTTCATGTGGAGGTTTTTTTTTTTTTTTGGTATTCAAAAGTTTACTCAATGTCTTGTACATTGCTGAAACAATCAAGACGTAAGAGAAAAAAAAATTGAAGGAAGGGCAAAGCTGGATGAGTTGAACTCCAGGCATACCTTTTTCCACCTTTTGAGGATTTAATACATGTGGTGGGATCGTCAAAGCCCTCTTTTGTACATACTCTTCATTTTCTATTCTTTTTCGAAAATAGGAGAGTGGTGACACTGTACAATAGTTTGACACTTTGTTTTCAGACAGGAAAATATCCGAAAATCCAGTTCCCAACTTTTGCATTTTTCGTACCTGCGTTGGCCGGGGCTTCCGCCAAGGCCTGGCCGCTGTCCGGACCTCCCGCGTTGTGAGACTCAAGATGACCATCGGCCGCTAGACCGACGGGCGGCGGCGGGGGGGCTAACCAAAGGAACAAGATGGAAAGCGGATCAGTGAGAAGACCAAAGTGCGAGGGCCACGCAAACGAGAAATATCGGTACCGGCTTGCGGCCGGGTGGCGCCGGGCTCGGAAAGCTCCGTTTGGGTCTCGGCGTTCTGCAGCTGGACCACGGGCGTCTGCGTCCCCTGAGATGTCACGGAGGGGGCGGGGTTTCTGGGCTGAAGACCGATGGCGTTCATCAAGCCCATGTCCCGGTCCAGCCTCCATCCCGAACGACTGGGCCTGAACACCAACGAGGCCCGTTAACGTGCGACCGAGACGGGCGGGATCACCCGCGGATCGGGCTCGTACTCACCCGGGTCGGTCGGAGCCCCGCGTCCGGCTGCTGCCGCCGTTGTTGACCGAGAACAAAGGTTCCGCGCCGGACTCGGCGACGCTCTCGCCGTCGCTGCGGTAGAACCTGAACACGCACACGCACCCCGCGCGTGTTAACGGAGGCGCACGCAGGAAGCGGGGGCTCAACCTCGTTAACATTAACGAACCAAATTGAAGGTCTTGACCCAGCAGACTTCCTGTTGCCAGTGACCATTAACATTAGGAAGATAATCATATCATCGCATCCAGTCACTTGCGCGTCCACTGGCCGGGCACTTTAGTAGGAACACGTGAGACGCGGCAAGCGCGTCCAAGCGCCGAGTGAATGTTCAAACGGGAAGTGACATCGACGGGCGCACTCACACGGGTCGACAGATGACCAGGTCCCCCTTGTTGGTTCCGTACGCCAGACCCATCCCGGGATCGGGAAGCCAGCGAGCCGAGTTGATGCTGACGTGACGCCGCTGGTCTGGCGCCATGGGGTAAACGACGTTGAAGACCATCTGGAAGACACCAGACAACATGCATTCGTTCACTCGCACGTTCAAACGACAAGTGCGAGTTTCCACGGCCAGCGAAAGAACAACGCTCTGTTTTCATCTGAACTTTCAAAGGAAAATCACTTTGCTTTGCGCTATTTTGCCTAACGACGGCTGGCTAGTGGCTCAAGATTTATTCTTATTATATGAGAATTATATAGAATAGCATTATCATTTCTTTCTGTGTTTCCAGCGAGAATTATCGTTCTGAGCCAAGAGGGATTCATTTTGCATTCCAGGCAGTTCATGAAATAAACACAGTGAAGTGTTGAAAAGTATTTTGTAAAAGGAAATCAAAAAAGTAGTCGTTAATCTCAAAATGCAGCATAACCCCGCCGACAGCCTGAAGACAGCTCGGAAGATGGACGAAAGAGGTACAAGTTTGACCCGGGGGTGGGCCAAGAACAATTGTCAGTTGTTCCAATCTTGTTTTATGGAAAAACTTTCAACAATACCCGTGAAACAATACACACGGGGGTGTTTTGACTGCACGCGAAGAAGTCAAAACGGAAAGCCTTCGCGTCATCTGGCGACACAAGAGAACAGTGGCTGACTTTCTCAGAGCGAGGTGGAGGGAGATGACGAGATCGGTTTGATTCAAAGGGATCAGCCGGATATGCGTCCCCCAAATCTCGGGAAACCAGCGCCTGTGCCGATTCCGCTCGATCAATCGGTGCGTCCCCACTACTGTGCCATTATGGCCTTGTAACTCCGAATCTACCCGTGTTACAGTTACTGCTGTCCTGTGCGTGCGTTGTGTGCGTGGACTCGCCCTGATGGAGGTCTCTCCTCCGTGCGGCTGCTGCAACCGGAAGACTTGCGCCACCATGTGGTCAGTGGTGGGATGCAGCAGGATCCTGCGAGAAGCCAGGCCGACCATCACGTAGCAGCCCAGCGGCGACAGGCTCACCGAGATAGCATTTGGGCCTACGGAAGCAAAAGAGGGTTTTACAAGCGCTGAGGATGACGATGGAGACGAAGACGGACGGGCGCGCGCGTCCGTTACCAAATCTTTTGGTGTAGAGCATCTCCCCGAGGTTGTGCGCCGCCAGGGAGTAGATGGCGAGAATCCCCTCATCGGGAAAACCGCGCTGACTGCTGGGAATGAAGACAGCCAGCAGCTGGCCGTCGGCTGAGATGTCGCAACTGGCGTCGTTGTAGATCTTGCAGTTTGGCACCAGAACATTGGCAGAGGCTGCGCACGGCAAACAAACTTCAAACAAGCGGACCATCGCGCAGCTCGCAAAAAAAAAAGCAAGACGTTGCGCTACTAAATTAGCAGACGCTACCCAACATCCCGATTGTGTGGTTTGCGCAAATAAAGGACTCGGGTACCGTTGCTGATCTCGGGTAAGTCAAACTTGGTGAAGTCCCACCACTGCAGGCGGTAGGTTGTGTTGGCGATGTTGCTCGCCACCGCGGACTGGCCGTCGCCGATGGACGCGCCTGAAGGAGGAGGTCGGAGAGTGTTAGAGGAATCTACGAACAGAATGATGTCATATTTACAGTTCCATTTAATTTGGGCCCGTCTGGACGGGTTGCGTATTTAGCGCCCCCAAATGTCTGCGCTAGGGTGTCGCGCCGTCTGGACGCAGGGCACTTGAATCGCATTACCGCAAGAGTCCGAACAGATAGAAGGAGGCTAGACTCGGTAAACAGTTTCAGAACAAAGTGTTTCGGAACATCAAAAGACCGTCTGAGAACTGGTCGCGGCCCAGGCGACCAGTTGTCATCTGCGAAGTCTGCGACTTGTTTATTCGTGGGAGACGGTGTTAAAGTATCCGTGGTTCAAAGCTTGACAAAAGTTAATCACATCTCCGACCGAGGGGCCGGACGGGGGGTGTGGTATGCAAATATCGGGGGCAGTGTCTTTCTTGTATTTTGCATATGTAAACAATAAAAGACCGACGCGGAACACGAGGGACTTTGGGTGTGATCGCGGAGCAACTGCCCGCCGTTCGCCCTGAGAGATCCACTCCCGCCGGACTGCACCAATAACCTTCCCGGAGTCGAGTTCTTCTGTTCAAACTTGTCCGGGTATAACTCTGACAGAGAGCGGGTGCAAATAAGATGCGATTGGCTCACATTTTAGGGGACTTACCTGCTAGCACCCTGTTGACAGACGAGTGCGTGGCCAAGCCAGGCTGGCCCCTCTCATGGTGGAAGATTCCGGCGTAGGGCAGGTACTCAGGAAGATGGAAGCGCCTGCGGCCGGGAGGACCAAAAATGGGTCGTGAAGATCCGTCAATATATTCGTCCGGCGCGTGACGCTAACTCACCTTGGCACGAAGCGTCCTAATGACGGCGCCGACATCCTGGCGTTTCGGGGCGCCCTGTGCCGCGCTCGCTCGCCGTTATCACTGAAACACGGTAACAGGGTCGTCAGACGGCACCACCCGCGGATGGCCCTGCGGCGCGTCACCGGAACCGACTCACTCAAGCTCATCAAAGTCCACGTCGGCGGTTTCCACGGAGCCCGACGCACTTCCGGCCGGCCCGTCAGAAGACGAAGACATGGCCCGCAGGCGGTTCTGCTGGTAGCGAGGAGACCGCTGACGAATGCTGTCGCGTCTGGACAAATACTGGATCATTCTCTGGGCGTAGTACGCGGCGGGAGACAGCCTGGACAGCAAGCGGCGGGCGTGTGAGGACGCGTGACTCGTCGAGGGGTGCGGGGATCATCGATGAGCTTACCGAGCTGGGTCGGGATAGATGGGGTGGTCCCGAGATCCGGTCACGTCGTAGCGAGACAAAGACATGAGAGAAGACTCCAGAAGTCTCCTGAGAGACAAAAAGAGGTGAGGAGGAGACAGGACATTCGCAGACAAGCCTTTCAGCCCCCACCGTGGCTACCTTCTGAGGTAGTCCTCGTCCACGGGTGTGGGATCCACAGGCATTTCCTGGCTTAAGGCCTCGGGGGGCTCGGGGGTCCGGGTGGCGGTGGCCTGGCGGTACACCCTCTCCCACTGGGCCGTGTCCTGGTTGTAAACCAAACCCACCGTCTGCTCGGCAGACGACGCCAGCGGGAAGGCCGCCGGCCCCACCGCGGGCACCGGCCGCCGCTCGCCGGCATTCGGGTCCGGGCCGCCGGGCGTAGCCGAGGGCGAGGAGGGCAAGGCGGAGGTGGGCTGCGGGGCGGACGAGGAGGAGGAGGAGGAGGTGGAGGACGTCTGGTTGGTGCGCTCCCAGCGTTGAGAATCGTGATTGAAGGTCAACAGGTTGTGACACGCCCGGCAGCGGTTCAAGTGCCCGCGAGAGCCCCCGGAAGGGACGGCCGGGTCCGGGGGGTGGGGTGCAGAGGGAGGCGGCGGGGCAGGAGGCTGGTAATGGATGATGGTGGGGGACGAGGAGGGTCCGGCTCTGTCCGAGTCCACGTTGTTATTCAGGAGCTCTTGGCTCTGTTCCTGGCCACCCCCTGACGGCGGCTCCATTTCCTGCATGCGCTCAAACTCCAGGAAGTAGCGGCTCAGGTTACATTGCAACACGTTCCGAAATGAGGCGGGGTTGCCGCGGGAGACGTCCCAGAAGGGGTGGTGCCCGCTGCTGGTACCGGACCCGTCCCCTTGCTGCGGGAAGCCTCGCCCGTCGCTGGCCGAGGTGTACACCGGCGAATGGGACGAGCCGTCCTGCTGGCGCAACACCGCCAGGAGGCTGAGCGAGGATGACGACGAGGTCCTGGGCGGAAGCACGGTGGGGCCCGCGCCGCCGCCGCCGCCCCTCATACTCAGCAAGCTGCGCGTCCAGTCCGGCCCCGGTCTGGAGGTGGAATTGGGCTCCCCGCCGCTGCCGTAGTAGAGCGAGGTAAAGGCTGAGGGGCGGGGCTCCGAGGGCTGGCGGGGCTCCGTGCGGGCCGCGGAGGAGGAAGAAGGCGGAGTCTGGGGGGCCTCCGACGGCAGGGACGGTCCGCGATTGGCCGAGCAGTGACTGCACATGCACGCCATGCCCAGGAAGCGGGTGCAGCCCAGGAAGGACAACCCGCGCTCCGTGTTGGCAAAGTGGCCCAGGGGGGCGGCGGGCGATTCCGCCGTTTCGGCGGGGGGGCGCGCATGCTCGGCTGGGCTCTGCACGCTGGGGGAGCGCGACGATAGGATGTGTAGGAAGTTGTGCAGGATGGGCGTGCGGCGAACGGGCTGAGGCAAGAAGGAACGCTGGCGGAAGTGAGGGTGAGGGAGCTCCACGCTGTCCATGGGAACCTCGGCGTCATCTTCGCTCTGAAAAACGCAAAACGTTGGCGCTGGGCTCCGAGAGCTCGCCCCAAAATCGAGCACTGTCGGGAGGCTCACCTGCTGATTCGACGACGGATTCACGATGGCCGTCAACAGGTTGTGACCCAGCGGGTCAAACCTCACCAACCTGAGGAACACACACAAGATCAAAACCCGAGACAAGGACATACTTGACCGAGTCACGTCACTCCAAGCTGGCGCGAGCTCGCTCGAGTTGCAAAAGGCTGCAGTGTGTGGCCAAAATGGCCGACATCACGCTGCTGCTTGATGCGCTGCACAACGGGACGTACGCGTCGACGGCTTCCTACACCAAGAAAAAAAAAAGGGCCGTCAAGAGGCCAGTTTGATGAGTTGCATGAGCGGTGGTGGGCCGCCCATTTGGCGCACGTTGGGGGATGGACAATTACGAAGAAAAGAAAAAAAAAATCACAATTACTTTGATTGTTGAAATCACTTTTCCTAAAGAACGATTGTTCATTGATTTGGTGTGTGTGTGTGTGTTTTTCCCCCCGTTTTTTGATTTTGTTCTTAACTGCCCAGCCTTAGCCTCGCGCACGTGTCAAACCATCTGAAGCGGCACTCGTCAACTCTTAAGATCAAAGCGGTCTCGGTGACGGAGCCCCCCCCGCGCGCTCGGCGGGACCCACCGCACTCGCTCGGCGTCGCTGCCCGTCTTGACGGCAGCAAAAGGTTCCGGTCGGCTCCAGTCCCAAAAGTGCAGCTCGTTGTTGGTGGCGATGAGGAGGAGCTGAGCGGTCGGGTGGAAGGCCAGCGAGGCGATGGCCACGTTGCTGTCCGTGAACCAGCTCTCACTGCCGCCCTGTGCGCACACGCACGCGCACGCATGCAAACAATTTGAAGGGTTAGCGTCGCGATTCCACGGTGAAACGGCGCAGTCACATTGTGTGGCCGCAGTGGTGGGGAGAGGCGTGGCGACTCTTGGCCATCTTGCCTACTTACGTGCAAGTCCCAGATGCGAACTTCACCATCAAGGCACCCAGAAGCCACCAGGCCAGGAATGGTGGGGTGAAAGGTCACACACCAGGGGGTCCTACGGTGGCCCACCAGGGAATGGAGGCACTTCCCGGTCTTGACTTCGGTGATGTAAATATTGTGGTTGACGTGTGTGGAGGCCATGAGGGTCCTTGAAGAGTGTCGCCAGGGAAACAGAAATCCACGTCAACGGCCACACACGCTCGCTCTTTATTCTCCATTTCGAACCATCTCCATCAAGTCACGCCGTCTTCGAGTCACGTCGCAATTTGCAGATGTGAATACGTGTTGTTCACCACTACCGGCGGGTGCGTTCCTAAAACTACGTTGCGGCGTCATCATCCAGTCATTTATTTTTAGGGATGCAAGAGATTTTTGGTTTCAAACCAATACGATGCCGTTTTTCAAGACTGGTTCCGATAACCGATATCTTGTGCACTTCCGGAAGAAAGAAACACTCGAGATTTGGCCTATCCGAGTATGACATCACTATTCAAGGCTTGAAATACCCTTTTGAGAAAATATGATCAGTTTTCATTTCTTGAATTCACATTGGGACTAGGACCAAACTGTATTTTCTCATTTTCTTTTTATGACTCAGTGCCAACACGAGTGATTGGAAGAGAAGAAGACAATAAAAAGCTAGCGGCGCATCCTCACCGGTCAGGGCTGAAGGCCAACAGGAAGGTGGATCTGGGACTGTCGGGCAGTTCAACTTTCTAAGCACAAAAACGAAGTTGGCGATCTGTCGTGAGGCCAGAGAAGATGAAAATGGCAGCGGGCGGCAGCATACTCACTTGACTCTGCCACTTCATCCAGCGCACTTTCTCCTCCACCAGTAAGTGCAGCAGGCGCTGCGAGCTGCACGTCTGCCAGCCGCGCTCCCGCCGCGACAGGAGGCGCACCGAGTTCCTCGGACTGGACGACATCATGCTGTCGGGGAACGTCCACCTCGTCTTGGCTGCCAGCTTAGGCTACGGGTTGTGGGGGTAACGGGATGCCATCAGACAAGTGATAGACAAGCAAAAAAAAAAAACGCACAAGAAACCGCGGAAAAACGAATTAGCGCTGCGAATGTGGGAGGTTAAGAAAGTAAAGTGCAGTTTGTGTGTGTGTGTGTGTGTGTGTGTGTGTGTGTGTATGAGAGATATGTTCTACTACTTCCTGTTTAAGTCTTCTCTCAAACAAGTTGATGGCCGCAGAAGATGACCTAACACTAAATTACGGTGACCCAATCACATCACATTTCACTGACGATGTCACTCCACATTCGCGATGAACTTCAGATGGTGCTTGTTGAACAAAACTTCATACATAGAACTTTAATTTTGACAAAGAACCTTTATAATTCATTTCCACAAATGTGTGTGTGTGTGTGTGTGTGTGTGTGTGTGTGTGTGTGTGTGTGTTAATGTTTTCATATTGATATAAAATTGTTTGTGAAGTGCTGTATTATACTGCAGGGGTTTGGAATTCTTGAAGTTATTTAATGGAAGATAAAGGTAACTGTGCTGGGTTTTTTTTCTTTTGGTAGTGTCCTCAAATACATGTGTTAGCGTTATTCCATAAAGACAAAACACCTTTGAGGCCAGAGTCACGATGAGTTTTGAACGCAAACATCAGGACAACGTCTTTACCATTTAATTTTAAAAAAAGGTTGTCCAAAAAAAATAATAATCTCTTCGTCCATGTCTCTTTGTTTGGTTAAAAAACGGTCACTTCTATTGTGAGCTGACCTCATCTCTCGAATGTCCAGCTCACTCCCACTTAACGACACACTCTCACCAGTCACGTGACGCTCCAGCAGCAAAATGGTTCCAACAAAGAAATATTTTAACATACTTCATCTTTTTTATATTTTACACAAGTGAACTCTAATAGATGTATAAAATAATCATGACACTCATTTCTAACTAAATAACCAAATATGCAAGTACAATATATCAACATTGCATCATACATGGAACACCCCCCAAAAAATATGCACACAGTACAGTATAGTGTCTCTCTCTCTCTAGAGAGAGAGAGAGACACACACACACACACACATATCAACTGTGTCAGTCAAAGAGACGGCTATGTGAGCTACGTCAACGCTTATAACGTCATATGCTTTGGAAAGATGATTAAACGCTTCGGTCAGCCACGGAAAAGAAGGAAAAACGACATTTGAAAAGTGCCCGTCGATCAGAAGCCGCTCGATGACATTTTTTTCCGTGCTTTCCAAGCAGATACTTCCATTAACCAGCCGTCGTTCAAATATTGTAATCACATCGTAACTGCGGGAGGACGACTTGAAGTAGCGTTAAGTATAAAAGATTAGTTATGTAGGCAGCAGGAAAGATGAAGTAAGGATGTTTAAAAGGATGGCCTACCTTTCTTCATCTTTGGGGCAGCTAAAGTTAGCTACGGAGCTAGATTGAGGCGAAATGGGGGGGTGTCCGTTGGAAAGAAAACTCAATCTTCATTCGTTTTGTGGTCAAAGGCGGCGTCCACTTCCACGAACGGACAGTATTGACATTTTGTGCACGCAAAGAAGCGACGTTTGCAAGGGTTTGGTCCACAGTTTGACTAGCTGCCCGACGCCGAACGGCTCCTGCGTAGCCAGCCAGCTAACGGCTAGCCGCACGCTATGCAGACCAACCAACAGAGCGCCGAATACTACTCATCGATCAAAACTACGAACGCAAGCCAAACTGGAGTGTCATTCACAAAGAAAAACAACAAACAATCAAAACACTCCCGCCCAAAGAAGCACAAATCCTGCCCCCTTTGAGTCACTGAAATATTTTCCATCGGCTTAAACAATCATTTGAAATACGACAAACTGACAGCTCTTACGTACGTTACTCTTCAGGTCACTACAACGTCTAGATGTCAAATTAGAAATTAAAGATTTTGTACAAAACACAAAACTCATTCTAGGTAAATAACATAAAACATTCTGAATTGTCGCGACTAAAATAATCACGGAATCATCTGTCTCCATAATCTGTACATCATTCACAGAACATTGAAGGCACAATTGCTGAATTTAGCGCCACAGTCGATGGATACACAAACATGATGATTTAAAGGAGAGTTTGCGATTTTGTTTTTTAAAGAATCTACCACAGCGGGGTCTCTTTTTGATTTTTTAATGTATTGTACATTACAACAAAATACAACTTCAAATGTATAAATTTAGCATTAAGGCAACAGGTTAAAGTCATATTACCAGCGTAGCGGCAGTCGCTAGCAAACGTTGGCTTGTTCACAGTACTAATGCTATCTTACTTTTGCTAGCACTGTTATTTCAATAGTCGTGTATGGTACATATTCAAATGTGTGTCTGTGTGTGTGAAGCGTATGACTGTTAATTTGGCAGTACAGTAGTCCATATGGGGTAGGTAAAGATGCTTTGGTGGGGTGCTCTGGTCCCACTCAGGCTCGTGTGACAACGGTGTGCTGCCCCCTACTGTTTGATGCGCAAGACGGCCGTAAACGGCTCTTCAAAATTAGCATTCCAACCGATGGAAGCATTGTCACGGAAACGTGTCTTCGTTGACTTCAGAAGTTTTCCTTGTAAAAGTTGAAGCCAAAGTGTTCACATTGAGCTTTGATGACTTTAGCCAACGCAGGAGAACCGCAGTAGAACACGTGAACTTTTCCTTTGTTCTCCTCCGAAATTTTCTGGAACACCTGACCATAACCACGACAACATTTGGTTGGTTATGCTCGTTATGCACACGCAAGTAGGTCGTTGTTCTGGTACTTTTGGGATGGTCTAACCTTGGCCCACTCGGGTCGTCCAGGTTGCGTTCTAGTCCTCAGACCTGTGATGGAGTCTCTCTTCTCCTTCTTGGCCAGTAGGTCCAGCGCCATCTGCAGGCCAATGGCCTTCATGTCGTTCTTGCACAAGGCCGACGTCATGTACATGTGCATCTCCAGGAAGCGACCTACCACAGGAGACGGAATTGAGCTCACACTGTGATTGTTGAGGTCACACCATCGGCGTGACGGCCGCGGTCCCGTGGCTGGCCGGCACCTTCAGGCTCTCCGTCGGCCTGGTCCATCTCCAATTTGGTCAGGAGGCTGACAAACCATTCGAAGGACTTCTGGTCACGGTTGATCCAGATGAAATCGACCTGAGAAACCAGCAAAATCTCGGACTTTCTATTAAGTGCCATTTAAAATGGCCAAACAAACATTGGCGCTAATTTTACGGTTCCGGTCTTAAAAAGGATGACCTTAAAAATTCCTTCCTCAAAAGACTCAGTTGTGATTTTAGGCTTGTCGTTTTGTAGGTTTTCAGATTTAGGAGTGTCCACATTTAGGGCGAAAACAACGACGTCAGACTCGTGTCAGAGGAAGAGGCGGTAAATTGCCATTTACTGCAGTTCATTTGAGTTCAATATATTGTTGAGTTGATTAAAAACCACTTTCTCAACAATCTCGGCAAAGAAAGAGATGCTGAAAATGGGTTCAAAATTTACCAACGGGATGCATCCAGCGTTCTCTTTCTCAGGAGCGGCTCAATGGCAGCTACTTTCACGGGTTTCGGAAAGTCGGCCGACCGGAAATGAGCAATCGATGATTTGCTTCAACTCAAAGGGCTCGGGTTCAATCAGATGACTGAGAATCTCCACAGGCTTACTTTGCGTAGCTTCATTTCGCTATCCTTAATGTTTTCGCACCACGAGTAGCTGCAGTTGGGACAATTCTGCTTCCGGCGGCGGTACCTGGGCACACAAGCGCACGGCGTCACGGGGAAGGCCGTGGGAGCGAGGCACGCTGGGAGGGCGAGGAAGTCACCTGTACATGATGCTTTGCAGGATGGAGGCGAAGGGTGTGATGCCGATGCCCGCCCCGATCAGAACGGCGTGCTCGGACGCAAAGATCTGTCTGGTGGGCGTACCGTAGGGTCCGTCCACATAACACTGTGGGCGAGGAGGAGGTCACATGACCAACGTGTCAAAGCACCCCGAACCGCCGTTGGCTCACCTTGATGTTGCAGAAGCGGTGATTCTCGCCAAACTTTGCAGAAACCTTCAAGCACGCGATCTGGCATCAGCGGGTGTTGCAAGCCGACTGGTTGTGACTGCTCACTACTTGATCTAACCTCTCTCGGGGGCGGGGCCTCGCCTCTCTCCGCGGCTGCCGGATCGTCCGAAGGGACAGGGAGAGGCATCGAGGTTGCTGGGGGGGCGCCGGGTCGGGAAACGTTGCGACGATACATGGTCAGCTCCACTGCGTTGTCCTCGCTGGACGCCACGGCGCCGTTCTCGTGCGGTGAGCTGAACAATTCCTCCTGGGGGTACGGGCGAGGATGTCACGATCTCTTGGCGGCATAGTAAGCACGGAGAAACAGATCAACAAGGTGCACCTGGAGGCTATGAAATATGATTTTTTTTTTTTTGTGCCACAAGGGGAAATTTAATTGATGCCCCAGTATGATATACATTTAGTGTTGGCGATTCATTGTGAAATATTTGCGCAAGGAGTGTGACGCAACTTGATGACGTGGGGTTGTGAGGATGATGCCTTGCTCAAGAGCACCTTGACAGTAGCCAGCAAGCAAAAGCTCTTTTTGTTATTTGTTTTTATTTTATTTATTTTTATTTTTTTACTGTCAGTCCCGGGTCTCACGTTTTGTGCCAAACCAGGACCATGAAGATGCCTGATCTTAAGCTCTATGTCAAATCAGGACCAGAAAGAATCAAGATCTTGAGTTTTTCCCCACCGGACTCTTCATCAGTTGTCTGCTCCGCAGGCTTGCTGCCAGCCTCCTGGGACTCGGCGCCGGACTCTGCGGCTGGCGGAAGTACTCATACAGACGGTTGGTCCACTGGCCCATGGAGCGGATGTGCAGCCACAGGCTGTCTGCGCACATGCACGCACACGCATGCACACACACACACACACACACGACTTGGCCTCAGCCGGACCGCCAGAGGGGAAAAAGAATTGGGCAAAGCGCAGACACAAGGTCTTACCAGATTGCTCTGGAGCGCTGCTGATGGTGAACGGGTGCCACTCGTACTTGGCGATGACGGGAATGTTGATGTACACGTAATCTCCCGGCTTGAACTGGAAGAACTGCGGACGCTTGATGACCAGATGAGTCACCTGCACGTCGGCGATACATTAGCGCAGACCTGTTATCACAGCCCCGATGAGGTGGTGACGGTGAAATGACTGACTTGGAGCGTGTCGCTGTGGCTAATAGAATGCAGCGGTGATGGAGCGGTGAAGTCAAATACAGGTCACACAGAGGTCGTCACCTTGGACGGCAGCAGGTTGACCTCCACGATGTATAGACCTCCCATCCGGGACACGGCGATTCCAATGATTTTCTCCAGCAGGAAGAGCAGACCCGGCACAACGAACCACTTCCAGAAGTTGGCGCAATGGACCATGAGCAGTGACCACACCCACACGTAAGACAAATGGGACCAGTAGAACACCTGCCAGGTCAGGGGGCGGAGCATGTGACTGCGCTACTGTGGTGGGAGTCGGTACAAGATGGACACTATCAAAGTCCTACATGAGTATGTGTAAGAGTAGCTGGGACGGTGGTAACGCGCCTCAAAATAAAACAATGATAAGACTTTGTTTTGTGTAATTGGCTGCTTCCCAATCAGGGGTATGTGAGCAAATTTCAGGGGCAACCTGGAAACATTTAATGAAGCATTTCCAAGATCCAAACCCCGTGGCACAGGCGTGCCAAAATCACAACAATCGCCTGCTGCGCTAGAAAAATACCCGTTGCAGGCGGAATCCACTCACAGCCGAACAGGAAACGAACTTGGCTTTCACGGTTGACGCTTAACGGTTAACATTGAAATGGGGAGGCTGTGGGGAGTCGAATTGAGCGCCCCGCGGTGGCCAATATGTGCACGTTACACAACGAATTGAAGAAGAGTCGCACAAACCAGAAGTACGTCATCGTTTCAGATCAACCAATCAATTTTACTCATCACTAACCAAATACTATCATTTGCCCCGCTCATCTAAAAAACGATTTGGAGGTATTTTGAAAAGATTTAATCTTCATGGTAATCTTACTTCAAAATGGCCGCTGCGTCGTACAAAGGTGCTGGAGCAGATCCCCATGAGGCAGATGACCACCTGAAGAACGACACCCGTCACGGATGCCGTGCCCTTCACCCAGCCGATGCCGGGCCGCGTGGTCAGCAGGTACTCCCAAACGCTGAAGCCGCTATGCTCGGACAGCTGGACTGGAACACACACGCACACACACACACACACGGAGAATTGGACCGGTCGCGTGCTTGTTTGCTTGGAGTCGGAGTTGGCGAGCTCGTGCGTACCAAAGTTGAAGATGTGCGCAGTGGTGTGCACGAGCGTGTATCCCAGAATGGCGTAGCCCACAATCTGATGTAAGAGAATGTTCTGGTCAAGCGGCAAAACCCGGACCACCCAGGTGGCCCGCAACCACGTGAGGCAGCGCCGCAGCATCAGGACCTTGGAGCACGCGCAGATGAGCTACATCCGGTAAACGAGGCTTCCCGTCCCGTGCGACGTCACTTGCCGTTACCATGACGAAGGTGCAGTTGAAGTTGAGGCACTGCCCGCATCCTTTGGCCAGCATGTAGCAGGCGCTTCCGTGACGATGCTGCAGGACGGCGCCCACGAAGAGCGCCAGGCTGAGGCAAGCGTAGCCGCACAGGAACAGGAGCTTGCGACTGTTGTTGTGCCAGTACGCCCGCGTCAGGTAGCGAGGGGTCTGCCGCTTCTTCTGGTCTGCTTCCGGTGGCTTGAGCCAGTTTGCGGCACTGAGGAGGCAATTGAAACCAAAGATTCTTGACCGACTGCGGGCCAAGAGCGAGACGCCGAGTGGCACCCACCTGATGGTCAGGTTCTCCATCACCTCCGGAAAGTCTTCCAGTTCCGCTTTGAGCTCCTCGAAGGTGATGGCCCCGCTGTTGTCTTTGTCGGCCGACTCGAACAGCGCCAGCGTCAAGTCGTCCAATTTCTCCTCCGGCAGAGAGATGGCGCTCTCACGCAGGCACGACTTGAGAACCGTGCGCAGCTCATCCGGGTCGATAGAACCGCTCCCTGCGCAGCCCCCAGCGCCTCTTAGAATTGCCGTATCGAGTCACGCAATGACTACCGACTAGCGCGCCGCAAGAAAGCCGCAGGTGGACAGGGAAATGATTCACTTCACTGGTCAGGAAGCGATTTTTTTTCTTGACCGCAAATAATGCACGCTTTTTTTTGCAAAGATTTGGACTCACCTGGCTTGACTTGCACAGGAATTGAAAGGTGAAGTAGTTTCGGAAAATTAATTAAACGAAAGACATGAAAAAATAATTTATAAATTTGACAAAGTAACCGTTTTCCTGAAGTGAGACTTGACACTTGAGTACGTGCGTGTAATCACCGTCCACATCGTAGACCTGGAAGAGGAACCTGAGCTTGTCCGTCTCGCTGCCGTGAATGAGAAGGTCCAGCGCTTCCAGGAGCTCGTCCAGGCTGATGGAACTGCTCCCGTCGGAGTCGAAGAGCGCAAAGAAGCGCTCGGCGAAGAAAGACTGACATGGGACCAGGAAAACGGTTGGGGTCACGTGACGCACGGAGGGTTGAGCGGCGCGAGAGGACCGACCTCTTTGACCTTGAGAGCCGTCTTGAACTCGTCCAAGTCGATCTCTTTGTCGTCTCCGGCGATGCTCTCAAATTGCTTGGTCACCCAATCCAGCCAGCGCGCGTCCTCGTCCGCGCTCATAGCGGACACCCGCGGGACCGCCACGCCCGGTCCGGACTGCAAGGCGGTCAAAAAGACGTCAGCGTGGACCCGTTCACTGCGCTCTCTGGTCCCTCGCCTACCAGGCCTTTTTTTTTTCCCCCTTGGATGTGACTTGGCTCCGAGGGGAAACATCCCTCAGGGAGGAGGGCATTGTTTACAAACATAAAGAAAGAAAATGGCTTTAGAGAGCGCCATGACTGCAGGCCCAAAGTCAAATAACAAGCACTATTGTTAACCGGCCGTGAGGAATATTTTGTTGGAAATACTTGTCAGTTGAGTGTGTACCGATTGGGTGGAAGTTGAGTGATGCTTCTTTTTCTTTTTTAATTGCACACGACACTGAGCCAAAAGCACTCGTTGCTGTGATCTGAATTCTTTTGTCATTTTTGAGGGCAGCGCTTCCACGTATTCCTGATTATTTTATAACGCCTATCAAAAGAAGGTTGCCGCTGTGCAGCAATTCAGAACAGCAGGTAGGCAACAGTCGACAAGCGCTGCGCTCAAACACGTCCCATACGATCCACAGGTCGAGATGTACGTACAACGTACACGATCCGGTGTCATGCGAGATCATCCGTGATGTTTTTGCAAAAGGAGTTTTTACCTGCGGCTGTTGCCAGTCTTCCTCGGCTGCCAGTGAATCTTCCTCCTCGTCTTCGTCGTCAGCTGGAGGTGACAGCCTGCCCTCCCCCACCCGTCCCACCTCTTTCAAACGGGCCCCATCCAATAAGATGGGGTGGAGGCGGGGTCTTACATGTTTGCCGTCTTACGTTTGCGCAAATACAAAAGGTCACTGGTTAGAAACATAAAAAACTTTTTTATTCCAGATGAAAACACGACTGCAGACAAAACAGCAAATTGCACTCTACTTTTTCGTCAGCTCAAATGGCTCATGATTCCAAGGATGACAAGACCAGGGTCCCGTTGGATCCTTTGTAAAAATGGGGCTCCGTTCTTACTTGGTGACAACTCAGTCACATGTGAGGAGCACCAGGATTGCGGGTGACTGAATTGAGCACGCTAAGAGCCTGTCACATGTCCAGCATCCCAAGGTACAGCGGGTGCCCGGCGATGACGTCACCGCGACGACGACGGGGCAACACTCAGCTCGCCGTCGGACTCTTCCAAGATGGCGCGCAGCGTCTGCACTCCCTCAAATGAAACGCGCAGACTGCCCAGTTGCGACACGCCGTCTTCCGTGTCCACCACTGCAAGACAGGCACAAGACAGTCTGTTGTGTCGTCCGCCTTGTCGGCTGCAATCAGCTCCAGTTCAGGTGCGACCCACGTGAGAAAAGTGTAAGAAGAAGAATGGATGGATACACGTCGTAATGATGTGCCGAAAGGAAGAAGCGGGGCAAAGGAAGAAGAAAAGGACGAGGCGCTCAGACCTCGGAGGTCGAGGTGGGCGACGTCATCCGGTTGGCTCAACAGGTCGGGAATCGCCAGGAAGGCCACGCCCACATCCTCGCACTCGCGCTCTTGCTCCTCCTCTTCCGGCGGCTCGCTCACCACAGTGAAACGAATTCTGCCCGACGACGACGAGTCAGTGCGAGTCGCAAGGGTGAAAGTCCGAGTTGGACTCACCTCTCCATGTCGGGGTTTCGTCCTTGCAGGACTTCCTTGAGGAGTTTCCGTCTTGAAGCACTGCTGGCCGCATCCACAGCAATGACTGCCAACCAATCAAGACATCAGGAGCAAACTTGAATGAACTGCACATGGGCGATACATTACGGAGCCCCAGCTTAGCGTGTCATTAAAAGGGACATTGTAAAGAGGTTCCAAAAAATGAGGAGCTTCAAAACGAAAAATGAAGCTTCTCTCGACTGCGCTTGTGCTTTTCCTTGTATTTGAGGACTGACTGGAGATTTCAAAGGTGACCATACGGTGCGATCTGTCGACAGCGTCAGTGTCAACATGTTGTCGTCATCACAGTTGAACAAAAATAAAACTAAATGAATCATCTCTGCCGACGTGTGTTCCATAAAAGCCACTCGAATGGGCTGTTCCAATTGGTTACTTGGCCGGCGCCTCGTCAAGATCAGGATATCAAACAGTACATGAGTGCTTTATGCCTGCACACGAACACAGATTGCCCCACTTCAACACCAGTTCAGGACTAGCACGGCTCCGCCCACGCAGGTACACAGGCGCAAGCGGCAAACGCAGACTCGCGCGCGCACACACACCCTTGCTGAAGTTGAAACTGACGCTCTTCCCCGGGGGTGGTTTGGGCAGGGACACGGGGGTTTCCTCAGTGGGCATGTCGAGGAAAGAAAACTCGACGAAGAGTCGGACAACGCTGACGTCTCGACACAAGCGAGACTCGGCCTCCAGGCTGAGACATGCGACCTCCACGCGCACTCGCTGCAGGCCCTGAACACAAACAGAAGAAGCGTGACTCGTGTGGCTCCGCCCACCCCGGCCAGAGGTCGTCTTAATTATCGAGGCGACGCTGACCTGCGTGGCCAGACGGTGAACGATGCCATCGTCGTCGTCGCTGTCAGATTGAGACCACTCACTGGCGTTGCGTCTGGACGCCGACTCCGCCGCGCCACCGCCTGCTGACAACGACACGTCAACGCTCCTTAAGGACCGTTTGGCTGATGAGTGACGGAAACGTGTGCTGTGCGTGTTTCTTCAGGGGGGTGACTACACCGGGGCTGCCGTGAGCAGAGCGGATGAGGGAGTCCTTGTCCTCCGACAGAACAAAAACAAAAACTTTCGCTCAAGGGTCCAAAATAGTCAAAGGGTCATGCTCACTGGGAGGAAGGGGTTGTTGCGGGTCACAGAGGTCAGAGGTCAGGGTCGGGGGCGGTAGGAGGAGTTGACCTTCGGAGATCGAAGACTCTTCATCATCCTCGTCTTCCTCGGCGAGGTGGATTGGCCTGCTCGGCACCAACTGTAAACAGGAAGTAGATGGATGAGGCCCCGCCCACTCGACCACCTCTTTAGTGTTTTGGGGTCACCTCCAGGTTAGTGGGCTGGGCTTCTTGGAAGGTGACTCTCTTGGCAACCTGCTCATCTTTGCTGGGAGGTTTCTTGGCGGGCGTCAGGGTTGGTGCCAGCGTTGCCACCTTCGCGTCAAAGACCTGTTCGCCGCCGCCGCCGGTGAGCTTTGAGGGCTCCGCATGTCTTTTGGACAACGAGCGGCCTCCACCGGCCTCCGCTGACTTCTGCGACGGCGGGAGAACTTTGCCGCTTTGGACAACGGGCAACTTCCACTTGATGGCGAGATCAATATGGCCGACGTGGCGCCCGGAGGAGTCGTGGAGGTCAAAGGTGCCTTAGAGATAAACAGAGAGATAGGTGCTTTTCATCTATCATATCATATCATATCGTATCATATTCATGATGATGACAATATCGTGACAATTTTAATCGCACGCTATTGCAATACTGCCAGGATCGTTACATCCCTTAGAAACAAGACGCGATGACGACCGCAAAGGAGGACGCACGCGCTCACCTGCGATTTCCTGGTCCTGGAGGAGCGCCGCCAGAGGAACGGCGGCTTTGCCCAAATACTCGTCCATCTGCGGCTCCTTGTAGTCAAACACGTACAAGTTGAGCGCTTCAGAGGCCAGGTAGTGCTCCAAAGCGCCGTCGTCGGCCAGGCGGAAGGACTTCATGTCGGCAAAGCGAGGCTGGCAACAGTCATGCACGGTGGAGGTGGGATAGTCGGGGAAGTGGAACAACTTGTAGACCACGTAGGGACTGGGAAGAGATGAGCATCTGGATTGCAGGCCGCTGCAGCCGCGCACTTCCACCAGCAGCTCCTTCTCAACGCCGGCCGCCATCTTGGACAAACAAGCGTCATCACTGCAGCCATGCAAGCAACGTGTCTTTCAACAACGCCTCTGCTTATTTCAGCAAGACGATGCCAAACCACATTCTGGATTCGTGGTAAGAGTGTGCGGGTGCTAGACTGGCCTGCCTGCAGTCCAGACCTGCCCCACATTGAAAATGTGGGGCAGATTATGAAGCGTGAAATACGACAGCGGGGACCTTGGAGTGTTCAACAGTTGAAGCTGTACATCAAGTAAGAATGGGAAAGAATTCCACCAACAAAGCTCCAAAAATTTTACTTTTTAATAGTATAATTTACTTCCCAAACGTTTTTTGAATGCTGTTAAAAGCAAATGTGATGTAACATCCTGTCGCAGCTTTTTTGGAACTGTTGCAGCCATAATGTATATTCCCTGTGATAAACTTCATAGTCCATCACATGAGGAAGCGATAAAAGACGGGTACCTGTTCATCATTGCTTCCGACCACTACCAGCCTGTCAGACTCGGCAATGGGATTGCGCAGCTTGATCCAATACTCCAGCGATCCGAAGGAGGTGTCCTCACCGTAATTTCCTGATTTTGTTTTTTTTTTTGTTTTTTACCCACAGGTACAGATGACGACTGACAGAACCCTTTCTACGATGAATGCTGTTAAAAGCAAATGTGATGTAACATCCTGTCGCAGCTTTTTTGGAACTGTTGCAGCCATAATGTATATTCCCTGTGATAAACTTCATAGTCCATCACATGAGGAAGCGATAAAAGACGGGTACCTGTTCATCATGGCTTCCGACCACTACCAGCCTGTCAGACTCGGCAATGGGATTGCGCAGCTTGATCCAATACTCCAGCGATCCGAAGGAGGTGTCCTCACCGTAATTTCCTGAAAACGACAAAACAACATGCCGTGTCTTGCGGCGGCGATTCCGGCGTAGAAGTACTCACCGACCAGCGGCAGCGTCCCGGCCGCCGCCCCGTCCCGGAGGAGGCGGCGCAGATCGAGCGCGGCAGTGGCCATCGTCTTCCACCGCAGCCCGAGCGCCTGATGCATCTCCACGCACAGCCGGCGCTCGCGGACGTATTCCAGGAAGCCCCGGTCCACGCTCACGACATACTGCGACGTGAAGCCGTAGTGCGGCGTCGGCCCCGTGGCCACCGGAGTGGCGTGCAGGTCGAAGAGGTAGAAGGCGTACGTGCAGAAGGTGGACGGCGCCGGGTCACCCAGAGCCTCCAGGGCGGCCGCGGACAAAGTGGCGCCTATGATCTGAAGTTCCACGAGGTTCTCTCCGTCTTCCAGCGCCGGACTTTGGTCCCGGTCCTGAGCGCTGACGCTCTTGGCGCCATAGGCCACATCTCGCAGCTGAGCTGAGGAGCGGTCGGCAGGAGCTTGAGTGCCTCATGGAAACGCAGCGCGACCAATAGGGAGCGTCTAAAATGCTTCATGTAAAAAAGCTTTCCGTGGCCTAATGTC